TATATATATATATATATATATATATATATATATATATATATATCTTATTATATATATTTGATAATTGTTTTTAATTAAATTTATTTCTACCTGTTTGTGGATTCATTCGTATAAATTTTATTTCTCCATTCGCTTCCAGGTACTTATTGTTAGTCATGTTAGCTTCAGCAGTAACAGGTCCATCTCCTTGATCATGCTCTCTGTTGATGGCTCTGACGGTTGGTGCCATTTCCTCTTTCAATTTTATCCTATTAATGTTCTTGCCGACGACAGGCTGAGACGTAATCTCGGGCTCGAAAAGATTATAGAGATCGCCCTCGTTAAGATCATAACTCTGGTCATCCATCTCGGCGATTGCACTAAATTTGTTTTGATGCACGTCGATATTGGCATTCGTATCCTTACGATCTATTAAAGTTTTCAGTTTTCCTTTTCCTTTTCCTTTTTTATCTTGAAATTTCCATCCTTTAGAAGCTGCTTCATGTATGGAAGTTGCATCGTTCGCATTGCTTTTCTGGTCATCACAATCTTTTACGTGGGTCGTTGACATTTCAGTCTCGTGTGAAGAACAAGCCGGTAAGTAATCACTCGTGTAGATTCCGCAGCTAGTGTTCTGCTCTATGGACCGTTTTATCTTCCTACGCAAAAAATATAGGTATGTGCGTGAGACCATCTAATAAGTATTAAACTTCCTCAAATGCATTTATTGTGCACGTATCTAATAATAACACGTATGAACTAATTTTTTGAAAAGGATGTCGATTTCATAAACTTGAACAATATAACTGACAAATGCAATTGTAAGTATACGCTTATATACATAACTTATCATTAATATATATAACTTATCATTAATCTCAATGTCCTCACCGATTCGACTGTTTGCTTTTCTGAGAAATATCGGAAATTGGCATAATGTCAGAAAATGTGTGAAAAGATTCCGTTTTGTTGGACAGCATAAAGGCAATTACTTTTTTTCTTCCCTTAATTACCTTCCCAAACCATTTGAGTACTACATGCTCTGCAAGATGATTCTTAAAACCGGGAATCATTCCATCGACCAACATGAAATAATTGTTTGCAATTGAAATTGCTTCGGCATGTTCATTGACCATTTTCCGCCTAAAAAAAAAAAAAAATCCTATTTTAAAAAGTAATCACTATCTCGAAAGAATCTAATATCAATTTAATAATAAACTTTTGATTATATACGTATGATTTCGTTTATTTCTTAACAAGCTAATACTGTTTTAATAACATAACTTGTTACAACTAACAAATTAAATGCTACATTAACTCTTACGATAATCAATACAATATGGAAAGGAGAATTTTTCTAAAAATTTAGTTAATACAGGTCTAAAAATTATTTTTTGAATCATCAAAATAATTATTAAGATGTTGAAAATAATCGTTACAATGTCAAAATTTTCGCAACACTGCTCATCATGCTTGAAATCTAATTTATAATATACTCTTTATTTTCTATATTTTACATTTTACTTTTTTCTTCCTTTGCGTTTTATCGATATCATATTTCTTTTCAAAGTCTCTTTCAAAGTTCGTCAACTTTGTCTCGAGTGACAGAAAATGAAGAAACAAGATACGAGACAAAAAGACAAGAGGTAAAAAGCAATAAAAGCAAGAAACAAGAAGCAAAGTGTACACTAGCAGTGAAGCATATTGTACATTAGGTTTATGTGTTCTCTATAAATTATTTTGATAAATTATTTTGAATTCAATAAAATTATTTTCACAGATTTGTATCTAAATACATTTTTACATACTTCAGAAAAATCGTTCTTTTCTTGAAGACATTTGATAATTAATATATATTATTTACTTGGAAATTAATACATCCAACATCCCTTGTTAAAGTTTTCTACGTATTATGAAACATATTTTCTATTACGTAAACTGGAGACTATGTCCTATCTTCGGCAACGTAAAAAGGAAAGTTTTTTTGATTATTTTAAGATACAAACAAGGATTATTTCCAGGTAGATTTGGAGGCCAGGAACGATCGAACGCATTGATACCAACGCCAGCCAAGTGCATGCCCGAGCTGCAACTCGTTTCCCTAAAACTGGACAACGATCCTTCGACATTCGTCTTTCCACTCTGCACACGGATCAAAAGATGCGGCGGTTGTTGCATTAGTCCTCTGCTTTCGTGTCAGCCAACAGCTACGGAGATGCGAAACTTCGAAGTAATCGATCGTTATTGAGTTAAAGAGCACGAACGAAAATGTGTATAATATTATGAGCAATCAACTTGAGAAAGAGCAATAATTGAACATGTTTTCTTTTACGTTGTCTTAAGGTGATCGTGACGTCGCTGGTCGATATGGACTATCGGGGACGACAAATTGTGCCGGTGGAGGAGCACACTAAATGCAAGTGCGACTGCAGAATCAAGGAAGAGGTAATTCGATAGCGACCGATAATTGGTGGTTAATTAATGCCTTGCTGCTTAACCGGGCCGTGTCATTTATGAGTTTCACACCTCGCACATCGTCTCGTCGTTCATTGTTTCTCACGCGATTCATATGCATGCACATATGTGTCGCATCATTTGAGACCGATTTACGTCAGCCGGCCGGCTGAAAGGAACACGAGCTCCGTTTCCAAGCATCTCGATAATGCACGAAAATTAGAAACAGAAATAATAGGCATTTCAAAGGCATGTATCACATTTTCCACGTGTCCCATCTGCATCCCCGCTCGTCCTTCGGATGTATTGTGAAATTGACGTTTCAATTACTTGAGATATTATGTAATCGCAGATGCAAAGAGATGCAAAAAATATAAAAAAAATTCTAAGATTCTCTCTAAAAGATATGTTAGTAAGCATTAAGATCATTTGCGCGGTGTTCAATGTACGAAGTACAATATTTAAAGATTTATTACATATATTTTTTAACCAAATGAATTAAAATTATAAGTTTTTCTATATGTATAGGTTTTTTATTGTATTTGAAAGTAATATATAAGAAGTTCAACGGCGATTAAAAACCTGGATCAAAAATTATTTCAATAACAAGATATATATGTATGTATGTATATATATATAGAATATTAGTTATCGTCAATTTATTTGCTGAGATTTTTTTTTATATGAAAAGCATACATTTCTAATTCCATTTTGCAGAGAGTATACACCTGACAAATCCTTAATCTGAATTATGAAGTGAAATAGACACAAAAATTTAAAAGCAGAATAATGAGCCTTTTGGGCATCTCATAAGACGTCTTATGTCTTTCAAACCTTGTGTTGTCAGGGATAATTCAGATTAAGAACGCATTAGATGTATAGTCTCTGCAAAAAAGTGACTAGAATTGGAAATTTATACTTTTCCATATAAAAATTTTTCTGAGAGACAGCTTAAAGTCATTTTTGCGAAAATGTCTTACGTCTTGATTTTGGTCTTTGGTTATCTAAGAGGCTAAGGTCGTTTCTCAATATACCAATTTTGCTGATTGCTACAATTGTCGCTTCCTTGCAACGTGCGCGAACGCTCGCAAAGTGTGTCAATGCGGAGGACAAGCGAAATTCAACCGTGTTTATACGAGCACAATAAGTGTTGACACTCTATTTCGTCGATGATTCATGCCACGTCGTTTTTCCTTGTTGCTTTCAGCACTGCAACGATAAGCAACATTACGAGCCGCACAACTGCAAGTGCGCCTGCAACAATGTGGACGAGGAGGAGAAGTGCCGTAAGAACGACACGAAGATCTGGAACTCGACTCTCTGCGTTTGCACGTGTAGGACCATCGAGCCATGCACCACCGGATACTACTTCAACCCCAACACGTGCAGGTGTGAGCTAACAGAATAGGGGACTATCTGCTAAAGGAATAAGGCGCTCTCCTTTTTCATTGCACGTCATTACTTAATCACGATTTGCGAACGCACCGATTTATTTCTCGTTCACCTAAATATTCTGAATTTATTTCGATCGTCCACTTCGTTTTCTGCACGAATTTTCGCAAGTTTTACTCTTTTCTCCTTACGCTTCACAAGCGATTCTATGTATGCGTCCCATATTCGCGCTTTCCTTCTATCTCGTACGTATAGGTATTTGCACGTGAGCGAAAGCACTTTCCGATTTCTTCACGCCGATATCCTTCATTGAGCGATATAATTCGCCAAACATTTTGGGTGACAATGAAATAAAAACTTGCTCCTCGACAAAAGTTTCCTCATCGCTTAGTCGTTAACTCTTCATTACTCGCGAGGGATGTTCAGAACATTCCAGCTTTACAAATTCGTTAAATTTATAAATGATATTTATATTACATTATATTTATTAATTTATTATTTTTATTATTAGCAAAAATTATTTCACAATTAAGGCTATATTCCAGAACGTTCTCTCCAAGAAAAATTTTACTCAAATTATATAATACACGTAACATGTACATTTATTGAATAAAATTTTCAATTATTTTTACCTAAAGGATGTATAAATTATTAATTGTTATTTAATTGTAAATCATAAAAAGTTACAATAAAAATTTAGATATAACGTTGAGATGTTAGAAACATCGTAGACAAGTAATTATAAAAACCACGCGAGTAATGTAAGGTTAAACTAAAACGACGTATACTTCATGTGTGATGTATATACACTTAACTAATATCTATAATAATGTAACACTTTGGAGGCGGAATATATTTGTATTCTACTAACAAGAATTGCCGCTTTAAATAAATTTTGGAAAAAATAACGACAAAAATCAGCAGAATTTTATGGAAACCTAAGATTGAGAGATTGTAAAATGCTCTACATTTTCAATTCACGCAATTTGGCACGATATTACAGTACATGCTCCATAATTATTGGCACGTAACCGCAAATGTTCCAGATGTGGACCGATAATGTTGTCTAGACCAGTAAACAGGTTCGCGCCGACGAATTACAATTTCACTGACCGTCGACCAGAAAACAGAAGGACGGTGATAATTCCTTTGGACCCATCGGATCCCAGAAGAAAACACAAGGAGGATCCCGAATACAAGTGACAAGAATTCAGACGGACACGCGACGGATTACAAGACTGCTAAAACGATCTATAGTTAATTTGTTAATTTCTTTATTACATAAAGACGAGACGCCTCAATAATTCCATACCTAGGAACTGAAAGAGTTGAATTCTCTCAATTTTACAATTTAATTGTCATAATTTTATCATGATGCAAAATATGTTACAAATACTGTAACTTTTTTGTTCCTCATGTTTGTAATATATATAGCAATGAGCAATTTCTTCTGCGGTTTAGTGGTAAAAGAAATATCACACTTATAGTTCTACCTCCAAATCGCAGAATGCTTTTCTAGTTCCAAGGTGCTTTCGTAATAACTATTGTATGTTGACTGTAAAATAATTAGGTCGAGAGACATTGTGATATAATAAGAAAATGACCGCCACAAGATCTTGTCAATGTTATTTATGTCATAGTTATTTCTTTTTGTATTTATAGTCACGATGATGAACAAATTACTTGTTATTTGCCTTTATCATATGTGACATAGCAATAAATTTATAACATGACACACATGCAGGATTATCAATTACATCACATATATTCATTAATTAGTATTTACATCTAAGTCATATTATAAAGTTCTTAATATTAATTATACTTGGACGAATACAATTGTTATACTCAATTATTGTTCCTCTCTGATTAATGTAGAGTCTAGATCTTCTGTACTTTGATTTATCGCTTTTTCGCGTCTCTCAGCGTTGTATAAATATGTAACAACAGCAGTGTTCACACTCAGAATGTTGCTGTAGCTTTCACTGATAGATTTAAGAGAGTTGGTTATTTTATCTAAAACACAATTATATATATATTAACATATAAAATCATATCATAGAATTTCAATAAGAAATATCAATTATTTGTAAGACATTTTCTATAAGTTCTTCTTAGCTTTTAGATACTTTGTTCTATTCCCATATTATCCCCATCTTTCCTATCAAATTGTCATAGAAATCACATGAGAGAGAGGTTTACACATCTCAATCAACATATAATCATA